AAACTGACATATTGCAATTGTCTGCAGATTTAGTCGTCATTCAAACCACACTGATCGCTCTGGTCTGCACTAGTTGAAAATACAGCTCACATTGTGCATACACCACTCTTTGGTGACATACATCATTGAACTAGCCACAATACTCGGTTTATTCTGAACTGAATCATATGACACCCTTGGTTCAATATGCACTTGTGTATCGTGGTTTTCGGTTCCTCATTTGAATTCCAACATATATTATTATTCCAACACTCTTAGGGAACTTCTTATTTATGGATGTGAACCCATTTCAAAAGCAAATAGCCAATCAATGAACTGTTCCTTCTGTAAATATTGAATCAGAGAGCACTAAAGTTAGAAGAGTGGGGGACTTCTCAGATTTCTCTCTAAGTGGGGCCAGAGCAGAGCTCAATCACTCAGCAATATGCAAAGGTCTTGTTTTAAACCTGTGATTTGTAGATATTTCAGTTTTGTTGTCGATATTGATAAAGATGGTAGAATTTAATCAGATGTAATTATGTAAAAAGCAACACATGAAACATGAGTACTCATATGCGCTGTCATCACCTAGCACTGTCTGCGAGCGGATTCGAGTGAGTCAAGCAAACAGCGCAAGAGACACTGGTGACCCATTCAACCAGTTATACCCAACTAATCCAAAGTTATGCAGCACTAGTATATACGGAATACTGCGCTGTGGTACGTACTAAGTTTTCTTTATTTTGTTTATTTTATTGTTTATTTAAAGCATCCATTTTGAAGACCTGTTTTGATATTTGATTTAGCAAAAAAGGGAATTCTATCAAACACCTATTTTTATTTCTTCATGGGATCTATAGGAATGATGACTAATTTTCTTGTAATTGTGATTACAAACAGTGGTGTGTACCGAACTGTGAGTTTTGTGTACCGTTGCCATCCCTAGCTTTAGTAGTATCTATCCATTGTTTGCTGTTTCGTTTTGTATCTTACTGGTTTTGTGGTGACCTTCAGTTTCAGGAAAGGCACCATGAATGAAATGTATTGTTATTAATAGATGTAAAAGATTCAACATGAAAAAATTAGCAAAGGCCTGGCATTGGAGCAAAGATAAGGTAAATAAATGGTGAGAAATTAACCTGTTAAGACCCACCGTCCCGCTCATGTGTCGGAAATGACACGTACACAAAGATCGCATAATTCAGGGCTCTAGACTAACTTTTTGCACTGGTTGCACTGGTGCGCCTAAATTTTTTTCTTAGGTGCACCAGCACAAAAGTTAGGTGCACCCAAATTTTCAACTGCATCACATTTAACACCGCATTTCCACAAGTTCACTTTTTTTTAGTTATCTATTCATTTATTTTTTTTAAATCACTGTCCATAGACAATATTGACTTGTAAATGATTAACTAACAACCTGGTCAAAATAAAGTTCTTTATTTGAAGCACAATTCCACAAGAAAGGTAACTAAAACTTACTGAAAAGGTGTTTAAAGTGCTTTACTGAGCTGAAATTTAAACTTTAAACTGATTTTGGTCCCCAAGAGCAGCAAATACAAATAAAAACGATAATACCATTTACTACCCAGATCAAGAGTTTATAATGCAGCCTATTTATTTACTTCTTTTGCAATATTGTAGGCAACGTTAAACTTAATTCTCATCTCGGCCTCGTCTGATCTGTTTGCAGCTGCCTGCCGCTGTAAAGGTACGTTCACATCGAACGCGGTTCGCGCGGTAAGCGCGGAGGGTTTCCATGTTAAGTCAATGTAAAGACGCGTTTGCGCGCGTCTGAGGCTTCAGCGGCGCGGTAAACGCGAATTGAGCGGCGCGCTTGCCGCGATAGGCGCGTATTGAGCCGCATGAATGGGTGATACGCGTGTTGTGAGCCGCGCGCAGGAGGCGGACCGGCCGTAGACGGAGTTTCGTTTTTTTTACCCCTCGAACGACGGGTCGCACCGGTGCAACCTCTGATTTTTTTTAGTCGCACCATTGAGAAATTAGGTCGCATATGCGACCAAATTGGTCGCACTCTAGAGCCCTGTAATTGCACCCACTATTTTTAAGCAAAATTTGACAAACTATATATCATTTGAAAGCTGAATTTCTCATGTTTCAGGCGTTATAAAGCATTATAGGTTTAACACACCACAGTGACAACAGGACAAATACTCAAAAAGAGGGGTGGGTGTAACAGGTTAAGATCATGAGCCAAATATCCAACACTCCACTGAAATATTCAGCCATTCATACAACACATACAAACTTACACAGAAGGATCATTTTAATCCGTCAACAGCATTATTTATTCAGTCCTAATGCGATTATGATAAGTGTGGTTCAAAGGAAGGGAACAGCTTGACACTAATGGTTTGTAATGGCTGCTTTAAGCTAGTTAACAGAGAGATGAGGTTTCTCTAAGGAATGTTGTGGCACAGGATCAATGCCATACATAGCATTGATTTCACTGAATAGGCTCGTTTTAAATTTAAAAAGAAAATGTGACCAGCTGCTCATCCTGTATGCACATATACACTTCATTCCATCATTGATGTTGAACCAAACACAGAATAGACTGTCAGATATCTCTTCTCTGAGGATGTAACTGGAGTACCTCCTCATTGGTCAGTCACTATGTCTAAAATGTGAACTTTAACTTAGTAGCTACCAGAAGTGTTGCACTTGTTTATTTACCCATTTTTAGGCTCAAGCTAACAAGTAGGTGTATATATATATATATGAGGAAACAGTCCTGCTACATCTGCCCAATCGCATCTAACCAATCAGGAAGCTGTCCTTTATCACCTACCTAAACACAGCTGACCAATGAGGAAATAGTCCTGCTACACCTGCCCAAAGACAGTTGACAAATAAGAGAACTGTCCTGCTACACCTGCTGAAAAAACTCATCTGACCAATAAGGAAACTGT